ACCTTCCTGGTCCAGAGTAGAGATCATGGCCTTTACTCAGGTTTGGGAAGAAAGGTGCCGCCAATGACAATGATCGCTGCACTAGATGGAGGAATGCAGCCATCTATGGCAGGATAGTTGCCAACTTGGCCACCAATGGCCACATGCAAACCCAGGAGCAGGTTTGCATGACAATCAAGTTGGTCTGGCAAGACCCCCAACCCTGAGCTTCCCCTCCCCCTTCTTCCCCTTGCTTCCCCCTTCCAGCTCCCTCCTCCCAGGTTTCCCCCTTCCCTCTCCCACTCTCTCTTCTCCTCTCTCCTGCCTCCTTTCCCCAGTCTCACCAGAGTTTCATTCCCTCCTCCCCAATTTTTTTAAATAAAGAGAGTTTGTGTTCATGAAAACACATGTATTTTATTTGACATCAGGAAGGGGGATTAGGAAGGGGTGAGTGGAAGGATGTGAGGGAGGAATGAGGCACAAGCCCGCAGTGGGGCAGACCAGGGAAGCTCTTAGTGCTTCTCAGGGTGGAAGTTCTCCCGCAGGGCCTCCTGGATACTGACAGCCCCCCGATGGACCTCCTGGATGGCAGCCTGCAGAAAGTGCAGCCAGGCTCACAGCTACACATTCAAGAGAAGCACCAGAGTGCCCAGGAGTAGCTCTGGCTCCATGTTGCAGAGTGCTGTGGTGTCCCGAGTGAGGGCAACCAGAGCACACAGAGACAAAATGCTTTGCTGTCCCTCATCGAGATAGGCAAGCAAGCAAGGAAACCTGAGAACTGGCTGTCCAGGGGGGTCCCTTTAAGCACAGACCTCAGATAGCCTCAGGCAGCAGCCCCACACAGTAAGTCCTGACCTGGTGCCCTGCTGAAACTGCTTCTGGACAGCCTTAAATGCGATTCAGAGTCCATTCAGTGTGGACGTGCTATTTCAAAATGCATTTTGTGGGTAGATGCGTTATTTTGAAATAAGGTTTCAAAATAACACTTTAGTGTAGACATACCCTAAGAGGGCAACAGTGTTAACTATAGATGAATATACCACCATATCATGTTTCTCTAAAAATAGAAGCTCAATGATGTGATGATTATTGTTTTGACTCTGATATTTACCTGGCATGAAGCTCTAAGCCTGTATACTTCCTATAGAAAAAAACAGTTGAAATATTCTGTCAAGTTTTAGTTATCAGGCCATCCAGGAGGAGATGTCAGACAGAGAAGAAGAGATGCTATACAGTAATTACTCGCTTAACACATGTCCGCTTAAAACGTTTTTGCGATAGCACGATTTTTTTTTGGGAACGTTTTTTGAACAACAAGACCATTCCCGAAATAACACGGTTTTCCCAGCCAGCTGGTCGCCAGCGGCTGTGCGGGGCTTCCCCTGCCTTCCTGCACAGCGGCAGAGGGTTTGTTGCACCATTCCCCGGCGACCCCCTCTCGCTGGACACTTCGCTCCCTCTCCGCCGCCCCCACTTGCAGGCCGGCAGCTGGGTTTCCCCAGCTGGCCGGTCACCGGCGCCTCTGTGGGGCTTCCCCCGCCTCCCTTCAAAGTGGCGGAGGGTTCACTGCTCGCCGCATCATTCCCCGGAGACCCCCTTTCACCGGACGCCTTGCTCCCTCTCCTTGAAGGCCGGAGGCTGGGTTTCCTCATTCCCCTCCGCTTGAAACGCAACCCCCACCTTTTCCATTATTTTCAATGGGAAAATTGACCCCGCATAACACGTTTTCACTTAACACAATCATTTTCTGAAACGTATCTACTGTTTTAAATGAAGAATTACTATATTAAACAGAAAGGCAAGAGGGCAGAGGAAAGGAGAGCTTGCGAGTTGCAGAAGAGAGGCAGTAACTTAAGTCACAAGGATGGATGAGGTACTGGGGACAAGATGAAAGAGGAAGATAAAGCTTTGCAGAATCTGAAGACTGAAAGGAACAAGGGAGAGCCTCAGGCTACATCTAGACTGCAGGCTTCTATCGGAAGAAGCTTTTCCGGAAGACATCTTCCGAAAAAACTTCTGGAAGAGAGCATCCACACTGCCAAAACACATAGAAAAAGTGATCTGCTTTTTTCGAAATATACCATCCACACTGAATGCATGCTCTCTCGCATTTAAGCTGTGATTGCTATGGACAGAACGGCCACTAGGGCACCTGTGCTACTGAAAGAGCTCTTTCAGAAAAAGGCTTCTTCCTCGTAGAAAGAGGTTTACCAATGTTGGAAAAAAGCCCTCTGTTCTTTCAATTTTTTTTCGAAGAACATGATTGCAGTGTGGATGTAAGTTAAGTTTTTTCAGGTTAAAAAAGTCTGTAGTGTAGACATAGCCTCAGACACACTGAAAGAATGATTGGAAAGGTAAAGAGAATCAGAAAAATCTAGAGTGACATAGGTAGGAGATAAAATCAATGGTGAAGGAGTCACTAGCTGGTATGAGAAAATAATGAGGTTCTTACATGTGGACAATAGTAAACCATCAATTGGATTGAGTGGAGGGTATGGGAACCAGGAAGATCAAAGAGAGAATTAACAGGGAGAGGAAGATGAGGCAGCACAAACAAACAGCTCCAGGAACAAAGACCAAAAGAGGAATATTGAGATAGATATATTGGCGGGCGGGGTGTGTCAAAAGATTTTTTTATGACAGCTGTTACAGTCTGTTCATGATTAAAACCCAAACAATCTGTTGCTGTATTAGAACATAGGCTAAAGACAGGTTTGTCCTACTGCGACTCTAATTTCCTTTCTCTCTTACATTTCAATACAGCAAAAGTAAAAGTGACTATGAATTTTAAATGCAATTCTAATTGTGCTTATAAATGGTCATTTCAAAACTATGTATGTTACAATAAACACAAATCAGAGTTAAATTAAACTTTAATTATATCAAGCAATGTCCCAATTAAAAACAGTATTGCAACAATAAAAATAACTTACCACCTGAATTAGCTCCGCCACAATTGTCTAATCTCCCTAAACATTCTTTGTGCACTCCAGCTCCACACTTAGAACATAAATAGCCTTGATAAAATGTTCCCCTGTAAAGTAAAATGAGATAGTGACACATTAAATAATAAAAAATCTGCATATACAAAACATTAGCATAAAAAAATTAGAACGCTGTAGATAGGATTAGAAGTCATTTGTTGTTCTGCACAATGATTATACCTTAAAGTTTCAGGAAGGGTGGCAACAGATGATGTGTCATATGCAACTCTGGTCTCCTTTTCCTAACTTCAAGCCATTTAGCGTCAGATAGTTCTCCTGGATTACCAGCGGAATAACATACTTCTTTGCAATTAGGCACAACAAGGGGTTTGGTCTGGTACAACAATGTCCCTATGCTATCATAGATTTACACTCTATTTGATTTCAATAGGAATGTATAAGGAATACGCATAAGACGACAAGATTCGTTTTGGAGAAATTCTTTTAGGATAGAAGAGTTTATAATAACCTATGTTATTGACTATATACTGCTTCCATTAAAGAGAAAATTATAAGGATTTACAGTTATTTTTAAGAGCCCCTGAGCATACTTCACAGAGCCACGCACTCTCCTCCACAGGAATGGCATGGCTAGTCTGTTCCAGCTGATGCAGACGCAGAGAGAGAGCTCACACTAAGGGGTGTTTAATTGCTCTAGAAGCCTTCCTCCTCACAGGGCCATACAACCTGCAATTAGTTGCCACCTTTCTAATTGCTGATAGCCAGTCGCCAGAGGCCTATCACATTGCTCCACCTCTTCCTCAAGGCCTAGCTCAGATCACCCATCCCTCTTTCTATTCCTGTTGCTTGCTGGCAGGATGGATTTGATTTAAATCATGATTTAAATTGCTAGTCAGGAAGACTTGATTTAATCATGGTTTTCGGCATAAAAGTACATCCCGGTGAGAAAATCATATGGTAGATCTCAAATCAATGAGGACTACACTCAGAAAGACCTCATAACTTCTGGAATAGGCTGCTCAAACAGTTTCACTTCTGTTTCTATCGCCTGCTCTTCCCTTTTCACATTTATCTCCGGACTTCTCCTTGTCCAGATCTATTCCACCCCCAACAATCCTCTATTCACTCAACTTTTTTAAACTTTGCACTTTTAGAGAGGTAAGGGATTGAGTCTGTATTCACAGATTTGCAGAGGGACAATAGGGTGGAGGTCTGTTATTTCTCACTTCTATGTATTATTTATTTATTTGAAAAACATTTTTGCTGTTAACAAGCATATTATCTCTAGAGACACAAATCTACTGTTTGAGAAGTGCACAACTAAGCATCTCTGATAGTATCTTCTAGACTGAGAACTAAATCCCATTGGGTAGATAGAAAGATTTAACCTAAATAATCTATATGGAAATCTTTGGATCCCCTATAATATTGGGTCCCTAATCCATGAACTATTGGAACTCATTTACAAAACTTTTCTTAAACTTTACATGAATATATTGCATCATACTATAGAATTAGAATTTATAATCCCTATTCCATGACGAGATATCTTTGAGCTATAATGTATCTTAATTAAAACAATCTTTATCTTTAGGTTTTTTTTCCCCTTCAAAAGCATTTTATCAAAAAATCCAACTTAAATTTAAAAAACCCGATTTAAATAAAAATTGATTTTCTCCACCCTGCTTGCTGGATAATCTCCAGCTCCCTTTACTGCCCTTCCCCATTCTATAGTTGGCTTCCTCTGCTCTGGGGCTAAAATGAGAGCTATTGTCACCTGACCAGGTGCCTATATGCAGGTAGATGGCAGCCCAGGCTAAGAAGAGTGCATCTCCTGCCACTCTGCAGTAATTGGACTTTTGGCATCCGGTCAGTAGACATAACCAGACACTTCCATGTCCCCTTTTCTAGAAGACTTTTTTTTAAAAAAAACAAGAAACAACCCCGGCACCTTGCGACTCCAAATGGCATCCACACAGAGATGCTAAAAACTGGACTCTCCAGGTAAAATCTGGCTGGCTGGCAACACTAAGCATGGACATACCCATAAATGACATATTCAACTTTAAACACCTCTGAATTTGAAGTAGGTTTAGATTCAAGCCTACCCATGGATATTCCAAGTCTGTCTCACTATGGAAGACAGGAGTTAATTCATACGAGCTCCTGCCACTAAGCAGTTCCACAAGCCCCAAACACAGAGTACAGACCTTACCCCTTAGTCCACACTGTGCTTTTCAGCACATTAGGCTATCCTTTTATTTTAATGAAATGTATAGCAAATGTTGATGTTTACTAAAGTAGTTGATACACTATTAATGATGAAATGATTGTTTCCATAAAATAAACTCCAACAGCTTACTTTATTGAGTGTTATAATTATAAGAACTTAAAGAGACAGATGGATAGAAAATAGCTCTGTAATAATTTTCAAACTTTTCTCTTGTTGTTGCACAGTGGAACTGGAATTTTCTAAATGCTAAAGTCAGACATTATGAATAAAAGTGACAATCTTCATTACCAACACTTAAAAAATAGAGATTTTAATCACAAATTTACTTATGAGAAAGATTAGGCACTGAGGCTATGTCTAGACTACGCTCTATTTTTATCTTCCGATTTCACTTTCGAAAGTGGAGCTTTCGATAGTGAAAGTAGTCTGGATGCAATTTTTTTGAAGAAAAAAAACAACCCTTTTTTGAAAAAAAAATGCATTTCCTTAGAAAATGAGGTTTACGTGGTTTTTTTGAAAAAGGGTTTTTTTTCCCCCCAAAAAAACCCCGCGTCCAGGCTACATATTCTCTTTTGAAAATAGAGTGTAGTTTAGATGTACCCTTAAGGATTAAGTTACTCATACAAGTATACGCAGGAAAGAATCGTAGAAGTGTATGGCTAGAAGGAAACTTGTGAAGTCATCAAGTCCAGCTCCCTTAAACTGTGGTAAGTAAACCTGGATTACCCGCGACAAGTGTCTCCCCAAAATGTTTTTTAAAACTTCTAGTGACAGGGATTTCACAGCCTCCCCTAGAAGCCTATTGCAGAGTTTAACTACACGTATAAATTAGAAACTTTTTCTAATATCTAAGCTGAATCTTCCTTGCAAAAGATTAAGCCCATTACGTCCTGCTCTATCTTTAGTGGAGAAACAGAACAATTAATCACTGCCCTGTTTGCAATGGCTCCTAACATATTTGTAGCCTGTTTTCAGATCTCCCCTCCTACCATAGTATTCTTTTCTCAAAACTAAACATGCCTATTTTTAATTTGTCTTAATAGAACATTTAGAAAATTTGACCTATCATCTGTGGTGTTATCCTCCTCTTGACTCTCCCAAATTTGTCCACATCCTTCCTGAAGAGTGGCATTCAGAACTGGACACTACCTCAGTTAAGGCCTCAAGAGTATTGAGTGGAACAATCACCTCCTATGTCTTACATGTGACACTCCTGTTAATATAACCCAGAAAGATAATTAGCCTTTTTTGCTACTGCCTCACATTGTTGACTTACTCAATTTGTGGTCCACTGTAACTACCAAATCTTTCTCTGCAGTACTATTATCTAGCCAGTTATTCCTTATTTTGTAGTACTGCATCTGAATTTTCCTTCCTAAATCAAGTACTTTTCAATCATCTTCATTAAGTTTAAGCTTGTTAAATTCAGACCAAATTTTCAGATTTATCAAACTTGTTTTGAAGTCTAACCATGTCCTCCAAAGTACATGAAACTCCTCCCAGCCTGAAGTCCAATACTGACTATACTGAACACAGGACTGGCTCCTGCAGGGCCTCACTAAATGTACCCTTCCAGTCTGACAACAACATTATACTTTTTAGTGACGCCTGAAACAAAATAGGCATTAAATACCTCAGCCTTCTTGATATTATTTATTTGCTCTTCTTCCCATTTACCTATGCTTTTCTTATGTTCTTCTGTTGTTCTTACTGTATTTAAAGAACCTCTTATTCCATTTTATTGCCCTTGCTAGGTATAATTCATTTTGTGTCTTAACTTTTCTAATTTTATTTCTACATGTTTTTGTACTCCTCAGCAATTTGACTGTTTCCACATTTTGTAGGAATCCTTTATCATTTTCTGGTCCTGATGGAAACATATTGGCCTCTTACTATTTTTCCTATCTTTCCTTCATATTAGGATAACTTGTATGTGTGTTTTTTATGATGCTGGCAGACCAGGTGACAGCTCTTGCCAAGGCTTTAGGTCTCAGTCAAGCACTAACAAATTCATTGTGGGAAACCACCTTTGTGCTAGTATGGTTAAGATGGATACTGGGCTTAGGACAATATGCTCAGACTTTATGAAATGACTGTTTGTTGCTGCATTTGTTCATCTCACTTATAAGATCTTTATTTCCTGCTATAAGGCAATATTTAAGTTTCTGCTTCATAACTGTAAAAAATGTTTGCTCTGAAATTGTGAACTGTGCTCACTTTATATTTTTATTATAAATATTTGCACTGTTAAAATGATAAACAAAATAAATAGTATTTTTCAGTTCACCTCATGCAATTAGTGTAGTGCAATTTCTTTATTGTGAAAGTGCAAAGTAGTTTTTTGTTACCTAATTGCACTCAAAAAGAAAACAACATAAAACTGTTAAACAAGTCCACTCAGTCCTACTTCTTGTTCAGCTAATTACTAAGACAAACAAATCTGTTTACATTTATAGAAGATAATTCTGCCCACTTCTTATTTACAACATCATCTGACAGTGAAAACAGACATTCACGTGGCACTGCTGTAGCCAGCTATACAAAGTATTTATATACCAGATGTGCTAAATATTTTTATACTTCTTCATGCTTTAAACACCATTCTAAGAGGACATACTTCCATGTGATTGTTAAAAAATGTTAATTAAATTTATGATTGAACTCCTTGGGGAGAATTGTACATCTCCATTTTACATGCATTCTGCCATATATTTCTGTATAATGGCAGTTTTGGATGACAATCCAGCATATGTTGTTCAATTTAAGAATACTTTCACTGCAGATTTAATGAAATGCGAAGAAGATACCAATATAAGATTTCTAAAAATAGCTACAGAACTCATAAGATTTAAGAATCTGAAGTGCCTTCCAAAATCTGAGATGGATGAGATGTGGAACATGCTATCAGAAGTTTTAAAAGAGCAACACTTTGATGCATAAACTACAGAACCCAAACAAACAAAAAGAAATCAACCTTCTGTTGGTAGAACTGGATCAGATGATGAAAATGAATGTGACACCATCCACATAGCTTGGGATCATTATCGAGCAGAACCCAACATCAGCATGTAAGCTCTCATTTCATGATTTTACAGTGCATATATTGACAATCAAAAATAAGGATACAAAATGAACAGTGTATACTTTATATTCTGTTTTGTAATTAAAATCAAATTATATTTTAAAGTATAGAAAACAAAAAATATCTATATAAATGGCATTCTATTATTGTTAAATGGGCAATTAAAACTGTAATTAATTGTGACTATTTTTAATCGTGCAATTAATAGTGACTTCTTTAAAATAATTTGACAGCCCTTTTAAAAGTTATATAAAACTGAAAAGCTGAAGAGGGGTACTAGGAATACCTTGGTAGTGATGGGTCACCATGTTGATAGCATGAGATTTTAAACAGCCTTTCTGCTCTCATTTTGAAGTGTGATAGCATTTTTCAATATCCATAACAAAAACACATAAGGTATTTACATGTATTTCTGCAAGGTATTTACAATAAAGTCAATCATTTACACTAAAAGACTTACCTCAGAAGCATCTGACAGACTCTACAGGATGTGACGCGGTTGAAGGTGTACATTTTGAACTCGTGAAAACTTGTATTTGCATTGTCTGGCCTTATGTTGGATCTAGAGAAAGATAAATTACATTATCTGCTGCAATGTGATTTGTCCTTTTCATATTTGTTCTTTTTTTTAATTGTATCCTTTGGTATATATGGTTGTGACTACTTTCTTCCACTATTTGATCTGAGGAAGTGGGTCTGGCCCACGAAAGCTCATCATCTAATAAACCATCTTGTTAGTCTTTAAAGTGCTACATTGTCCTGCATTTTGCTTCAACTACCCCAGACTAACACGGCTACATTTCTATCACTATTATCTGATAATACGTTCTTAATTAAAGAAATTTGGGAATGTGATGCACCAAATATAAGGACTCATTCCACACACCACGAGCCTTACTTTCACATAGAGAAATATCAAATAGACACAGTCTATGCCACAAACAAAAAAATACTGTATTATCTAAGTCTGTAGCCAAAAGATGCATAATATAAGCCATTTCTTAGAGACCATAGTAACTTGGAAAATAGCCATACATATCAGAACAGCAGTCTAGTTTTTTTTTCCCTATTTGGAGCACCACCTTACACATCAAGGATCATCTTGTGGTCCCGCCTCTCCTTCCAATATTTCATTGCTTGATTTGCAAAATACATCTCCCTGTGGATCATCAGTGAAAACCATGTAGCACAAACTGAGAATCACGGTGTTAGAAGCAGTCTATATACTGTGCAGAGTTGAGTCACAGTTATCCAGCAACAAATTACGTAACTAAAGCTATTTCAAAAGTAATTATAGAATATTTATTGCTCTTTTGGTTTGTGTTCCTTGAATGGGTTTCCTAATACCTACAAATGTCTCTACACATTAATTTATCCAATAAAATGGAAGACCTATTTTTATATTGCTTGTGGGAAACACATACCTACAGAACAAATACATCTATAACACGTGGACTATTTGTTATGATCATATATTAGTTTCCCTCCCCCATTATTTCTCTGTAAGCCGTATTAGCTTAGAGAAATTCCATTAATCATTTTGTTGCACTGCTACTTTATTGACGGCTTTTAAAACCTTATTTAGCATTTTGTTTAGGTTTTTTCCCTCTTCTGTAACTCGTTCCATTTCAAAGAGTTTGTTTACGCTGTATATTTTTCTCTACTACATGGTTTGAGTTTTCTTTTTTTTTTCTTGCTGCTGCAGTAGTATTCTTGCTCATTTTTATGTTTTATTGAAAGCTTCCAAGCATTCAAAAAAAACATATTTAGATTAATACAATGCTAAAAGAACAAGATAATTGGTATGCTGTGGTTCTAGATAACCTTTGTTTAAATCTATACCACTGCATATGGGAAAAAGAAAATTAAACTGTATTCCTCACTCTCCCGGGAAGTATAGGAGGGCACACAAACCTGAACCTGCCCCAGCCAAGAAACAGGCAACCCTCCCCTGACTGTGGCCACTGGGTCCTTAACTCAATTATATTTTGTTGTTTTTTAAATCAAATGAAAACGTACATGTTTCATTTAAATCGTTGCTCTGAGGTGGGACTGAGCATGAGGGGTTCAGTATGAATGCTACCAAAGTGAGAGAGGACTACCACATGGGGAGAGAAGTGCCTTTCCATGGCCGCTGCAGCTCCAGTGGGCACAGCTGGGGGAGGAGTGCATATGCCCCTACTGGGGCAGATCCAGGTTCATCTGCCCCTGAGCTCTCTAGCCAGAGTGAGGAATACAGAAAACTGTGCACTTTCCCCTCACTCCTTGATGAAGGGGAACAGCCAAAATTGGGAGGGAAGAGGGGAGCTTCAGCCCTCCCATACTCTCTAAAAGGTGCCTTGGGGGTGAGACACTTGTGGCTGGGGCAGTCCCGGACATGAGGGCGGAGGCAGCTCTTTTCACCTGCCTGGTGATTCTGTCTCTTTTTTGTTTGGTTTTATGAAAAATAATTACATTCTAGGCACACCCCATTTTCCTGTCACAATCAAACCCTTATGTTGCTTAAGTTATGATTATAGGAAGCTGTATACAGAATTTAATGAATGTAAGTAATTCTTACCATTTAGGAGGAGTTCTTGAACAGACAGACTCTCAAATGTACAGTATATTAACAAAATGAATTCCATATTACAGTGAGATCTTTAGGATTATGTACATGGCTTGTACTCTGTTTGCTAAACTAATGGAATCATGCACAAGAATTAGAATAGAGAAAAATATCAAATAAAGGAAGGGGAAAACATTTATAATCTGAAACACCTAACGAGGTACCCAAGGTGTTATCAGAGACATACAACTGACTGGTGAAGCTGAAAATATTGATAAAATGAAATTTCACTTTTTGTACATTATAAGCAATTCCCAGAGTAAGATATTATATAGCAATGAACTGCAGCGGTGTGTAACACAGGCAAATATCCAAACATCAGTATCTTTACTACTGAGTGAACACCTATGAAAAATATAAAAAGCAGCTCTTGAGTAGTAAGTACTGATGCAGTGGTATCAGCAAGGTCAGTCTTTTAATGCGTCTCTCAAATATGAGTGTGCTGAAAATGAAACTGAATTTTAAAGGCAAATTAGTTTTCTCTGCTCTTAGGCTCTTACTTTTAGCATTGTTTTCCACCATATAACTAATGTCTCTTGTTGTTTGTGTGTGCAAAATACAGTGATGCAACTGTCCTCCTAGAGGAGGAAAATATAGATATTATATTATTTCATTTTGAAGATTTTCATTATGGTATCAAAATTACTGTGGAACAACATGTTTTTCAATTGTTAATTGTTCAGAAGAAAGCACTGTGTCTTAATGTGTGGTTATATAAAATCTAACACAATAAAGCACAATTCTGACAGTGGTCTTTCAGGCTATGTAAGTAATATAAAAATTAAAAACTCCCAAGAATAACTTGCATTAATCATTACATGCCTTACAAAAGGTTTTTTTTTTTAAATACTTTGATTCAGAGTAAGATATAGTTTGCCAAGGTATGTCAAGAGTATCAGCCTCACATACAGAGAAATTCATGGAAGTATTTCTAAAAGACTTAGAAAGCAAATTAAAATAGTCCCAAGAGCCTGATCATCTTCCCATTGAAATCAAGGACAAAATTTCCTTTAAGTTCAACTAAGCAGAAACAAGCCTCAACATAACAAGAAGAGTGGATGAACAAAGAAAGTGATAGTAACACGTACAAAGGGTCAACTCTTATTATACTGCTTTACTATTTGCTTTGATACACATGTAATTTTCCTATGCTCTCTGTCATGGGGTACGGTCACAGAGGACCCCTTGGGGGTGCTTCCCAGAGTGCTGACAAGGCCACTGCTAGGGTTCCTGGTGTCCGGTATTGAGCCTCAAAAGCATTTCTTAAAGGGGCCATGCTGGGGTTTTTTTTCTCTCAACAACTTTGGTTTCACACACACACCGTTAGGGTGTGTGTGTTCGGTATTTTTGGTTAAACTATCTGGCAACCCTTGGCACTGCCACTCACTTTCCTGCTCTCTGGGATTTCTCACTACCGTGTCATGCTGAGTCAGCTCCTTGGTCACCCCTAGCCAAGGCACAGAGCTGAGATCATTGCTCCCCCAACACCTCGAGGAGCAGTACAGACACTGAAACTCTTTAGGACCAAGGAAAATGCAGTTTGGGGACCAGCTTTCTGGGACATCACTCCCCAAAGGGGATGAGAACTTCAAATAAATTATTTAGGCAAGCCCCCTTCCACAATGAAAGGAGAATGTACATACTGACTACTCTCCAGGTAATAATTATCTACACTGGGCTTGACAGTAAATAAAAGTGATTTTATTAAGTACAAGCAGAAGGATTTAAGTGGTTATAAGTGAGAACAGGAAGCACAAAGTAGATTACAAACTTAAAATTAAAAAGTATAGCTAATTCTGAAACTAAAACCTCAGTACCAACTTATTAAAAACTCACCCTAAAACTGGACAATTACTTGGCTCCCCCTATCAGTTAAGATGGACATGTCAGCTCTTGGGATGCACTTCCTGAGACCAACTATTGCTAAGACTTAAAGGACAAAAGAGGGTGTTTACAGATGGTCATCTAAACAGTGAGGCTGTGTCTAGACTGCAGGGTTTTTCAGAAAAAAGTAGCCTTTTTTCAAAAAAACTTCACCAACGTCTAGACTACAGCCACGTTCTTTCGAAATTAAATCGAAAGAATGCGGCTTTTCTTTTGTCGGCAGTACTCCTCATTTCATGAGGAAGAACACCTTTTTTCGAAAGTGCTCTTTCGAAAAAAGGTGTTCTTGAATGCAAACAGGGCTTTTTCGAAAGAGAGCATCCAGACTGCCTGGTTGCTCTCTTTCGAAAAAGCAGCTCACTTTTTCGAAAGAGGCTTGCAGTCTAGACGTATCCTGAGGGTAACACCCTTGATGAATTTCATTTGCACATTTAAAACCATAAACCACTGCATACTTCATATATCTAACTTTACATACAAGAATAATACATACACCAAAATAAGATATACAAATCCAGCAGATGTTAAGATTGATAAGTTACACGAGGCAACTTGTCCAAAGCATCTGTGAATTATGCATATTTGTGTCCCTGAGTCCACTTCATAAAGGGGGAAAAGGGTGTCTGTCACATTTTCCTTTTAGGCCATTTTCGGCAAAGACTCTAATTTATACAAGCACTGAAAACACACCAGCTAGCAACAGAACACATTATAACCTTATACATATGACCTATATTGTTATTTTTTTAAAATAAAAATTGATTGTCCAAAAATGTTTGTGTCAATTCTAATACGATTAACATCTATTTTACAGTCCTTAGTAAGAGGAAAAAATATTGCCTCTACTATTATGTTAGTGGAGAAAGCAAAACTAAAATGTGTAATGATCAAGAATTTTAAAAATTAAATGAATATATTAGTACCATATTGGCAAATATTACATCATAGCTCACTCTTTTTTAATTGCATACACTAGAAGCTCAAATGTAAATCCTAAATAGTTGTGTCAATGAAAAACATCAGCCTCAGAAAACCAGGTATTCCATCCTGTCTCGGGCCCTAGCAATCCT